CGTGAATGTAGATGTGGATGTGGATGTACGCGGGTGTCGGTGTGAATATGGACGGGATGTGGGTGTGGATGTGGATTATATCTGTGTGGGTGAATGTGAGCGTGGATATGTGGGTGTAAGTGTATGGGTTCGAGTGTGGATGGAGTATGGGTATGAGTGTGAGATGCAGTTTAGGGATGAGTATAGGTGTTGGTTTTGGGAATCGATGCAAGTGTAGCTGTAGATGAGAATGAGTATGTGATTGCGAGAGAAGAGAATACTAACAGCTACACGGACAAATAGAAGTGCAAAAGGAGAACATACATCAAAGATAATATGATCTAATGTTATCGTCACATACAATGGTTTGCAAAAAACCTTGGAACAAACTGACAGCATAAATATTTTATACTTTCTAGATTATCTTGAAGCTTTATTTTGCTGTTATTGTCGATTTATACTTACCAGATTATCTGCTAATAATATTCGTATATTTGATTAATTTTTATTTTGTCATTTCTTAATTATAACCTGAAATGGTAAAGACAAACAGTCTAAAATCGCATCATATTTCTGTATTACATTATTGAAACATGGGAATTCGTTCTGCCCGAAAAATCCACCGAGATACGAAGATACCATTGTCTACAATTAGTTATCAATTGAAAAAGCTTCGAACTCAAGGTTCTCTACAACATCAAGCAGGCAATGACCAACGATGTAAGATTGGCGCCAAATGCAGCCGAGCACTAGGTCAATTTATTAGAAGAAATAATGAAGTCACGTTGTATGAATTGGTTGAAAAGTTACATAATCAATATAAATTAACTGTTTCCACCAGTACAATCTCACGTCATTTGCACCGTCTTCAATATGAAAAGTGTTTACCATTGAATACTTCAATACTCACGCCAGAATATAAAGAACGTCGAGTTGAATGGACTAAACAACATTTAAATGACAATTGGAAATCTATAGTATTTACCGATGAATGTTCATTTCAATTGTTTAGAAATACAATTCGTCATTGGTCAAAAAATCCAAAAGAAGATAAAAAAAGAATTCCGAAGAATCGACAAAAAGTTCATGTTTGGAGTTCCATTAATTCTCATGGAAAAGTTGGTTTTCATTTATTTCAAAGCATTATGGACAGTGTTTATTACATCGAAATATTAGAAAACAATTTGATTCATAATGCTAAACGATAATTTAATAATAAATGGCGACTTCAGCAAGATAACGACCCCAAACACCGATCTTCAAAAACCGAGAAGTGATTGGTTGCCAATGTTCCAGTTATTATGGACTGGCCACCCAACAGTTTGGATCTCAATCCGATTGAAAATATGTGGAATATTATCAAACATCAGATTGGAAAAAGAAAACCAACAAATGTTAATGAATTGAAAATTTTTATCGATGAAGAATGGGAAAACATTGAAAAAGATGTTATAATCAATTTGATTAACAGTATAAAAAACAGATGCCTCTTAGTTATTGAGTCAAAAGGAGAACGAATCAAATATTGAACTGCATATTGTAAAACCGTATATTACTATGTAGCAAATAAACAAACATTCTTTTGAAAGCAGTTGAAATAGGCGTTAATACAGGCTAAAGATTTGTTCCAAGATTTTTTTTGTAAAGCATTGTATCGTAACAAATAGCTCTTGTGAAAATTTTATTATGATATCAGTTGAAGAATGATCAAATACTACAGAAAATTGAGCATTTCTTTTATTATCACTACATATAAAGAGAAAGTTTCCTCAAGTTTTTTATACGAGAATAAAGTATCGCCAGTCCTACTTTTAGATTGCCCTAAGTATAAATGGAACATTTTATCGATAATATCAAACTTTAATTTTTAGATTTTGTTTTATTTCAAAAATTCTCTTTTCTATTACTCATACAGATTATTATTCAAAAGAACAATTTTTATTTATAATAATTGCAACTGGTCGGAATTTCTCGCTATATGTGTCCTCTCCTGCTGCTTTTGTGATGATTTACATGTTACTCTTCACATCTTACAATAAAGAAATGTGATAAATATTTGTTCATATTCTATCACTACGTATAAATCTATATCAATTAAACTATATAATTTAAATAATTCTAGAGCACAGAGTCATCAGCCTCGAAAATCTATTTCTTACCTTATGACAAAAATACTTTTTTTTTCACTTGTGAATAAAGTTATATATTCAACAGTGCCTCATTTTATATTATCTGAGACAGCTGGTTTTTTCCAACGTGCCTGAGCTACCAGGGTGTTGGTTTTTTCCAGCATGCACAATTGAAAGAAAAACATTAACGTTGGCGACAGCGAAAAAGGAATGATGATTCATACAATTTTTTTCGTTCTGTTAGTAAACGTAGTGAAATTATTTAAACGAATGTTGACGATTAGACACACAATGGCGTATGACTGTTATTGTGGAATACTTTTGATGAATATTTTAGGATTTTCAGCAGAAGAGTTACCATCTACTTAACATCTTTAGTGTACAAGGACATAAAATTCAATCACAAGCCATTTTACTGAGAAGAAGTTTTAAATTCGAACAAAGCCAAATCGGTTAAGAGGACTTATGTAGCGTACTCTATCAAGTCATCTAATACACTCTGAAAGAAGTCATGTTGTTCACATTTCCACTACTGATTCCTTAATCTAAAGAACTTTTTTTTCAAAGTAATATTCTTATATATAAGAGTCATCATGATGCGTCATGCTATAGGTGTTGTTTACAATTGTAGTAAGGAATTTTTTGTCATATTGCAAGAATCAAAGAAAAAATGACGAACCGATTCCTGTAATGAGTTTTCGAGAGATGTGGTCTGCACATACAGTAAAGCCTTTACTAGTAGATACATCTCTAAAGTGAAAAACCTTCTAATTATGAATGGTCTTAAGTTCGATGGAACAATTTTTGCTGGAAATGCCTCTCTCCAATATGAAGATCTCCTTTTTCTAATAATGAACATTTTTTTACAGTCCGTCTTGCTATTATAACATCTCAACTGTGAATATACACGCAATGTTTTTTTGACCTCTGTCTACTGTCTATCATCTATTCCATATGAATTATGAGTATTGTACATTTTATACATGATTCAACGGCTCTACGCGTAAAGAAAAGAATAACATCACGATACGAACTTATCTAGTAAGAAAAAATTGACTTAATTAATGAGTTAAAGCCAAATCTAATTTATATCGATATTACTTCAGAGGCAGAAAGATAAATAATATTATAGAATTTTTAAAAAATTTGAAACTTTGTATTGTAGTTGAAAAATCTTTTAATTGAAGATACGTATTCAGATGAAAACAGATGACCAAGAGCATAAATAGCCAGGTTTTTTTTAACTAGGATCTAGTGTAAAAACAGATATTCTAGAACAGTTTCTTCATCTCATAGTAAACAATATGTCAACTCTCTAAGTAGAACCATGTCAATTTAGTGAACATTTTCTTTTATTAATTTCGATAGAAAGGGTTTACTGTAGATGTAATCAATGATTCACAACTTTGCAACAAAATTATCTTGTTTATTATTTAAGAAAACAGAAATCTGATCAAAATAACTAATTCGACTATCTAGCGATTAAACAGAAGGAAATTGAATATAGAATACATTTTGTCTGTTTGTCTAAATTCAGTACATATTAATGACAAGTAATGCATGATACGTTAACGTTGATCAAATGCGTTTGAATAATATACCAATAGTATGAAATAAATACATTCCTATTTTTCTATGCGTAAGTGATTTGTGAATAATTGCACATGCAATGTTAGTAATATTTTACTTCAGATACTTCATTCCGCTAGGATGAAACAAAGATATATTGTTGAATTTAATGTTTTTGCATCATAAAAAAAAAATACATTAAAAAAAAGACAAACTAACAACGGAACTAACGGGTACGCCATAAAGAATGAAGGTCTCCGTATTTTGACTATGGTTTCTTTTGATTTTGACCTTTCAAGCTGATTCTTTTACAAAAAGATGCGCCGTTAAATTCTCTACAAAAAAGATCATTAAGCTTGCTCCTAGAGTAAGTTGGTAAAAAAATTTAGAAAAGATTATCTAACACATAAAAAGTACCCAACTTTCAAAGCTAGCAAATGTCTCATGAATGGCTACTGTTCGTATAACATTTTCTTATCGTGATAGGTATTTTTTTCAGAACAAAGTATAGGATAAGATGCAGTGAGAGAAGCTCTATAAGGTGCATATAAAATTATATTTTATATACACAACCTTTGTTTTTAAAATAGACAAAATCTTGTCCAAGGAATTTTGGATTAGATCATTTTTGGTCTTATGGAATTTTACTTATTTTAAAAACAGAAGGTGTACATATAAGATAAACTGTTCATTGTAGATTGTAGAGCTTTTAACGTTGTATCTTATGGTATAGTTTGTTTTCTTTTAATCACTTATATAATGTAATGGAAAGGTCAATAAGAAACATTAAATTCGTAGTTCCCCAAAAGTTGATCTTATTCGGATCATCGAAAATTCGTCGGACAGAATTTTGTTTATTTTAAAAACAAAGATTATGTATATAAAATATAATTTTATATGCACCTTGCAGAGCTTTTCACGCTGCATCTTATTCTACACTTTGCCTTTAAAATCAACGTACTAGTTCCTAAAAAAAAGAGACACAAACATTCCTTAGATTTGAAAATTGGGTACTTTTTATGTGTTAGATAATCTTTTCTAAATTTTTTTACCAATTCACTTTAGGAGCAAGCTTAATGACCTTTTTGTAGAGAATTTAACGGCGCATCTTTTGGTAAAAGAATCAGCTTGAGAGTTCAAAACCAAAAGAAACCATAGTCAAAATACGGAGACCTTCATTCTTTATGGCGCACCCGTTATATATA